TTAGTTAGATGCCCTCAATTCAGCCTTGATTCCTAATGACTCCATAGACAATGCTCACCAATCTGTCTACAATAGAAACCTATAGTTGTTTGAATAATTTTTTGCAGTAATTGATCCTGTTCATCCACCTTATATATTGTTTTCCCTTCCTCCTTCCAAGTTCAATAGGGATGTGTGTGTGTGTGTGTGTGTGTGTGTGTGTGTGTGTGTGTGTGTGAGAGAGAGAGAGAGAGAGAGAGAGAGAGACAGACAGACAGACAGACAGACAGACAGACAGAGAGAGAGATTCAGTCCATTATCAACTCCCATCCCATGCCAAAGCATTTGGGTTTCTGCTTGTGAGTCTCAAAGGTGTAGTCAGTTTTTATTTGGTCCACAACTAATTTATTATTTTTTTTCTTGCAGTTCATGGTACCTTTAGTAATAGTTTCCAAATCTATCATTCTAATACTAGCACTGATGATGTTACCTAGTTTGGGTAATGAAACGTCTGCAAGAAAACAACGAAGCTCAGAGAGTAACAAGGATCCCTAGTCTATCATTCTATCTTCTTTCTCTCACTCTTTCTGTACATATAACTTTGAAAGCCATACATTCTTACAGGAAAAAACTGCTGCTTTAATTATTCTGATCTTTGTATCATAGGAATAACCCTTATATTTTATTATCTTGTCAAAATTTACCTTTCCCTTAAAATTAAGAGAACTCATGCAAAAATATTATTTAGCAGCGTGAAATATATGCAAGTATATAAATGTATATACATACATGCATTTTTCAAACTAGAATGTTTCAGAGGTACTGGGGTTACTACTTTCAAATTTCCCAGTACAGTACCGTCATTGGTGATGGCGGGCAGCATTAGAGAGTTGACATCCCAATTTATCCAGGAGCAATTATGTTGTGGAAGACTGGAACAGTTTACCCATAGAGACTCATTCCCATTATGATTGAAGGACTCACTGGCTTGAAAGCTGTCCAGGGCACTGGCTACACCATCCAAATCCAGGAAGAAGTCATCCCCATAGAAGTGTTCTGTGTCAGGGCCAACCTGATTCTGCTGAGCTATTATATTGATATTGGGATTCATAAGTCTTATGGCATTTGCAGCCACTTCTGACTTCTGCTTCTATAGAAACAAAGGAAACATGATTAGATCTAGGATTAAAATTGGTCATTGACCAAAGTACAAAAATAAAAGTCAAGTAAAAAAAAAGACTTTTATATTAAAAATAAAGTTGCTAGTAGTCTGACCAGCAGCAAAACTCAAGAGTTTGTAAAGTTAACGCTCTTCTTGCAACTGTTTTCCCGCCATCTTGCTTGCATTACTTACAAATACATCTTGTAGTCGAAATAGGAACTGCCTGTGCAGGTTGGACTTTTCAATGATGTCCATGTCTGTCACAGTGATCTTCCCACCCTCGCCAGCAGCCAAGCCAATCATTGCAAAATTCTTCAAGAGTTCACAGCCAATCGCACCTGCTCCTACCTAAAGAAGTTGTTCATAAATAAGACTGTTTGAGACCCCATGACATTTTGGAACTATATCAGAAACTGGAGATAGCATCTCAAATTATATATGGTTGGTTCTGATCCACACCTGTCCTGTATACCTTTTCTCCATCTGCATATTATTAGCCTAACTCTCATGCAATTTCAAGAAAGCCTGCATGGCAATTACAAAGCCTGGACAGAAGTATTCACACAAGAAAACTGCTATCAAAAGTCTCAAAACTTTCTGAGTGCAATTCTGGGAGAAGGATAGAAATGACATACAGAACGATCTCTCATTTTAAAAATCGAACTCCTGGTCACATTTTATATTACAGATATCAATTAGCCCAAAATTTATAAAAAAAACAATGAGAAACACATGATTTTAGTATGTTTCCATTATAGCTGGTACACTAGATTAACTCTTAATTTTGCCATGGAATACAGACACAGACAAGAAACTTCACAAATTCACGGGATCCATATGACAATTCTTCTATTGTGTGAAACATATATGAACTATGCAAGGGCCTTCAAACAAGAAAAAGGAGTAAAACCGGGATGCAATGTCAACCCAACCCTCTTTTATCTTATAAATCAACTATTTATCAGCTGTTTCTAAAATGGCTGTGAAGTCCAGGATTACCAGAATGTGACTCAGCAGCACAAAGCCTGTTATAGTGGTGATCTCACACACTCCCTTCAATAACACAGTCATGCAAAAGAATAAAAGGAAAGATTTTGCAAAATGTGAATGTATCTGGCAAGAGTGTATCTTGGTCCCTGTCTATTTTTCAAAAATATTCTCATGGAGGCTAGAAATTTGATCAGTATCAATCCCTCTAGGCTTGTTTGCTTCCTTCCTGATACTTAGGGATCCATGCTGAATTTTCCAAAAATCCTTGAATTCAGATCTGCAAAAAAGCAATATGCTGTAATTTAAGACTTCATTACCTTTGCTATAATAATTTTGTCCCATTGGCAGGGGGACAGAGGTCGACTCCTAGGCCCCTAGCTTGTGGGGTGCCTCAGGGGTCGGTCCTCTCCCCCCTTTTGTTCAATATTTATGTGAAGCCGCTGGGGGAGATCATTCGTGGCTTTGGGGTGGATTTCCATCAGTACGCTGATGATACGCAGCTGTACATTTCCACCCCAGGCCACCCCAACGATGCCCTTNGTATTTTAATTGGAAACACAGCTGGTAATATTTGGTTTTAATTCGGCTTTTATCGGGGTTTATTCTTTTGTATTTTTGTATTGTGTATTTTTTGTATTTTGGGTATATTATTTGTTTTTAATATGCTGTGAACCGCCCTGAGTCCTATGGGAGAAGGGCGGTATACAAATTAAAATAATAATAATAATAATAATAATCTAGTGGGAATAGTTTCAACATCTGGAATCTTTCTTTGATAATCAGGAATCTGTTAATTAGGATAAAATCTGATATCTACAGCAGCAGTTCAGCCAGCAAATGATAGGTTTACCACCATCCCCTCAAAAAAACAAAAAACAAAACCCAGAACCCATTAAACCAATAACAGCTGCAGGAACAATCTAAGCCTCATCATAGAAAAATAATAATTCTTCCTTTGGTGCACCCTTTCAGGCTTAAAAAACAATCAAATGCTCCCTCTGCTGTGAAAAACTGGAAGAAAAGGCACCAAAGTTTAACCATTCTCTTTCAACAGCTTCTGGGTGAAAATGTGGTTTCCTGGCCTGCATGAGAAATTAGCTCATCAAAAAAAGTTTTGTTTTAATTATTGGAACCACAAAGGTCAGTTGGAAGAGCTGTAGATGTATCATCCCAGATAAGATAAGATAAATGAGAGATGAAGAGACAACAGACAACAAAAATAGGAACTCAGCACACAGCATAATTTGCCCAAACCAAACACACACATTATAATGAACCTAGTTAGTGTGCAGTAAAGAATGTTGTTTCAGAATGTGGTCTACAGGAGTTGTATGCCTTACTCACCAGGAAATACTTCTGCTTCCCAAGTCGTTTTTGGAAGTCAGCCCCAAAGACAGCAATCTGCCCATCGTAGCGACTAGCACACTGTCAGAGACGGAGATGCCAAGCGTTAGAACAGGAACATTCCAGACCGGAGGCAAAATGAAACCAGCCCCATTTCTCAAGGGCATTCTCAGAAAGTCTAGTTGGCTGCCTTTATGGAACTCAGCATCAGGGAAGAGAGAGAAATAAAAATGTTTCTGACAGCCACTAGTGGAAACCTTTCTGAACCGAGTCGTGATGGGTCAGACCTGAGTAGTTTGGGGTGGGTGGGTGAAAAAGGCAAACTACAGAATGTAACTCTACTCACTGGGGCACAGTTTGTCTCTGTCAGCTGCTCCCCTTCAGGCAGGCATTCATAGGCATCAAAGTACAGCCACTGCTCCAAAGGGGTGAACTTCCCCGAGACAGCCTGCAAGCAAAATAACATAGAAGCTTTGCTCAAGCGAAATATTATAATGAACATCGTGGAAGCTGGAATCCAACATATCTATATCTTAAGCTGTAAAGCAGGCCCAGTTTCAGTACATGATGTTTTTGCTTATTCCGTCTTGTTATTCAGGAAAAAAAAATCACATCTTGTTGGTGTTTGGTCTTCTACCCAACTGTTAAAGGCACAAAATCCTATCAGGGAATGGGAAGATTGGTACTTCTTCATCACTCTAGTCCAGGGGTAGGCAACCTTGGCTCTTTTATGACTCGTGGACTTCAACTCCCAGAATTCCTGAGCCAGCCATGGTTGCACAAGACCAAACCTTAAAAACAAATTCATACAAAGCCAAAATTGAGAAGACAGCAACAGATGGCAAATGCTGTCTCTGCAAAGAAGCTGAAGAAACAGTGAACACCTGGTTAGTTGCTGCAAGAAGATCACACATACTGACTATAAACAACAGCATGACTAAGTAGCAACAATAGTGCACTGGAATATCCCCAAGAAATTGGAAAAAAATCTGGATAGTGGACATTGCAGTACTCGAAACAGCAGAATAAAAAAAAAAACTTGGTGAAAAATCACAAAAACACCAAAGAAAACAAAGATAGAACCAACATGTCCCCAAAAATCTGGAGCACCATTTGAACATCAAGGGCATTGATAAAAATCACCATCAGTCAATTGCAAAAGGCAGTTTTCCTTGGAACATCTTACATCCTGTGACGATATCTTTAACACCATCAAATAACCACATTTGCCTACCCCAGATCCTTAGGAAGGACTCAACAGGTGGATACAAATGCCGAAACCAGTCTAAATAACTGTCTGACTGTGCAACCAAACATAAGAATGTCATACTGTAAGTCATTGTCTACAAACTACAATGGCTACCTTCACATATCATACTAAATCAAATATCCCAAAGAAAAACCTAACCAAACCATGTTATGGCTCAGCATGAATCAAACTGGGAAATTCCAGGACTGAAGAACTTTAGGGCCAGGACTGTAGACACAGTAGAACGAAAGAAAGCCTAAAAGAAGAATGATAGCTGGAGGGAGCCAGTTATGTGTGAGAAGACTACAGTTCAGAGAGGAAATGTTACAGGGAAACCTAACTTGGCTGCACTAGATGTAAGTAATATTAGAGTTCTATCCAGCCTGTATTTTTTTTAGAAGTTCAAGCCAGCTTACATGGGGATTTACCTTCATTGTGATGACTGCAAAAAAAAAAACCCCAGAGGTTTGCTGAGAGAGGGTGACAAGCCCAAAACCAGCTTTTAAGTTTCCATGGTTTTAGTCCGGTAAATTAAATCTCAATAAAGGAAAGTATGGCATTGCTTCTCTTACCCACTCTTGCTCAAGACCAGGGGTAGTCAACCTTGGCTCTTTTATGACTCGTGGACTTCAACTCCCAGAGTTCCTGAGCCAGCCATGCTGAGGGGAAAGGGAGAGGTTTCCAAGCTGAGCCATGCTGGCTCAGGAATTCTGGGAATTGAAGTCCACGAGTCATAAAAGAGCCAAGGTTGACTACCCCTGCTCAAGACTATAATCGTTATATTGCAACACATTTTGTCTGATGAACTCCTCAGAATCCTGATCTTTAAACTCTCTTATACATTTCTTCTATTTTAAGTTAACATTTGGCCATTGTAGGAGTGTCTTACAATGGCTACATCCTTAGGTTTATCCATCGTTTGACATATCTAGAGAATCAGCTAGAAAAATCCCAAGTAATTTCCCCTAAGGTGCTCTACATATCTCATGATTAGTAATACATTTGGCCAGACTTTAGCTATTTAGTTACCAATATATTTTGACTTTCAGTAGTCAGTGTGTGTCAGAGCTCTGAGTAAGGGCTTCAGCAAGTCTCTTATCAATTCATAAAAGATAAAAGATAAAATCTTAGGTTGTTTCTTGATGAAGTGTCTTTTGTGCAATCGGTCTGCCTCCTTTATGGAATTTTACCTGGGTTGTAATGGTTGAGACACCATCTCCTATTTCTTAGCTTCCCTGTTTTTTTCCAAAAGCTCTTTACAGGTTTTGCTTATCACAAAAAGATATTAAAAAGATAAACTGCTCTGTGCCATTTATCTGGTAGAATCAGAAGCTGCCTCATAATCATTTGCAAAAGGGCTTACAGAGGTAAGGTTTGAATCACAGGTTTCCTCAGTGTATCCTATAATTACATTTACACTGACCAAATTGTGCTTCTCAGAAAGTACAGTAGGAAGCATGCAGTAAGACAAGGTGCCAAGAGGAGGACATTTATCTTTACAAGTAGTCCTCCATGTGCAACCACAAGTGGGCCTGGAATCTTGGTTTTTGAACAAAGTGGTTATTAAGCAAGATGCCACATGACCGCTTTGCTCAATAATCACAATCCTGGTTCTCCCAGTTGTGGTTGTTAAGTGAAGCACGAGGGAGAGAACCCAGACCTCCAGGGTACGGTGCAGCCATCGCACCCAGGAGAGCCAGATCCTGTCCCTCACCACTGAGGAGAACAATTGTGAGAAGGATGGCGTTTGCTAGGTGCTTTCACCAGACTTGAGGTCCAGTCCTCCAGCGCCCATGAGGGTTTCCTTCCCTGCATGAAGGGGAGGTGAAGTCTGTCAGAGTGCCGGAAGACTGGACCTCAAATCCTCTTCACTTGTGACTTTCCCTGCTTGTTTCCTCAATGACTTTCTGAGGAAGCTGGCAGTGAAGATTGCAAATGGCCACCACACGATCACAGGGCACTTGGCAACCAGTTTTAAATGTGGACAGGTTGCCAAGAGCCAGAAATGCGGTGACCTGCAACATTTTACAACAGCCATCGTGACTGCAAACCAGTTTTGGTCACCGCGATGTAAAAAAGATGTTGAGACTCTAGAAAGAGTACAGAGAAGAGCAACAAAGATGATTAGGGGACTGGAGGCTAAAGCATATAAGGAAAGGCTGCTGGAATTGGGTATGTCTAGTTTAACAGAGAGAAGGACAAGGGGGGACATGATAGCAGTGTTCCAATATCTCAGGGGTTGCCACAAAGAAGAGGGAGTCAAGCTATTTTCCAAAGTGCCTGAAGGCAGGACAAGAAGCAACGGGTAGAAACTTATCAAGGAGAGAAGCAACCTAGAACTAAGGAGAAACTTCCTGACAGTTAGAACAATTAACCAGTGGAACAACCTGCCTCCAGAAGTGGTGAATGCCCCAACACTGGAAGTTTTTAAGAAGAGACTGGACAGCCATTTGTCCGAAATGGTATAGGGTTTCCTGCCTGAGCAGGGGGTTGGACTAGATGACCTCCAAGGTCCCTTCCAACTTTATTATTATTATTATTATTATTATTATTATTATTATTATTATTATTATTAAGCAACCAGTCTTGAGCTGAGGACTACCTGTATGCAAAAATGGGTACACGATAAAGCCTTTATTATATTTATTCTCTCTTCCTCACAAAGTATGGAACCAGCCTTATGGCCAATTGAAAATGCACCACTCACACCTAGGAGAGAGCATATAGTGAAGACCTTTAGGCACAGGATAAAGGTAAAGGCCACTTGCAGAACCATGAATGCAAGGTCATAAAAGGACAGCAAAGGAAACATCCAATATCCTAACCCACAAGGGAACATATGGTGTCTTAGGGAAACACCTAAAACACCCAAACAATGTAATTATAAATGAGCTGTATACAGTATGATGCAAATCAGCATATATTTTTTCTTGAGATGCATTTCCTCTTTTGGTTGATGTTTAAGTGGCCACCCTTCTAAACAGCGGTCTGTGGAGGAAGAGTTTCTCCTCTCTTCTTTGGCCTCCTTCTGGTGCAACTGAGAGAAACAGATGAGCTAAAAGAGAGCTCAGTTTCCTATCATTCCTTAAAAATGGTTTAAAAGCATAAACTGCCATCTGGTGGACATTTTATAAATTATGAGCAAAACATACTTTCATCTGGTTGGATTTTATAACATTTTATAAGAAGGGACCTTGGAGGTCTTCTAGTCCACCCTTCTGCCCATGCAGGAGACCCTATACCACTCTGGTATAGGCTGCCCAATCCCTTCTTAAAACCTCCAGTGAAGAAGCACCCACAACTTCTGGAGGCAAGTCGTTCCACTAATTTGAAATCCATTCCACATATTGTGATCCATTCCAATTAGGACAGAAAACCTTTCTCTGCCTGGTAGATGGACAACACTGGAATTAAAGCAAAAACCATGCCAGTGTGAGTAGTAAAAATTAACATTAAATATTCTTTGTCATCTCTTTTAACAATAGCTTGGACAATCTATGAGTAGTATACATCTTCCTTAGTTGAGTTCTCAGTTAGAAAAACCCAGCTTTTACCTAAAACCATGCCCTCAGGCTACACAAGAGATCCCCAACCCCCAGTATGTGGACTGGTGCTAGTTCATGGCCCATTGGAAACCGGGCCGCAAAAGTGGCATACAAAACTCCATTTGTGCACGTGAAACCATCCCCTTCCCCTCACTACCGCCGTCCGCCTCCCCTGCCACAGGCAGGTGCTAAGGGATTGCAGAAAGGTAAGAAGCATGGGGTGCCTCAGGCAGGTGCTAAGGGATTGCTACGTGTTAAAGTCATGTGACAGAACACTTTATGACCGTGTTGCTTAGCACTGGAGATTTCAGTCCCAATTACCGCCATTAACCAAGGACTACCGCTATGCCATGCTGTAATATCACTAGCAGCAGCTAAGGGGAGCAGAGAAGAGAAGGAAAGGAAAGCATGCAAAAGTTCATCAGGGACAATGTTGGGGTAAGAGTTACTGAAGAGGAGGGGGTAACACAGGTCAGATTTACCCTACTCTTTAAGTCTTGTTCTGCTTGTCTTGAGAATGAGAGTAAATCCTTGGTTCAATAGGTATTCATCTTGAATTGACATTCTTCCTCCCCCCCCACCCATTAATTGGCTAAACAGAAGATAATTACAATGAGTATGGACTTTAAAATGTTGGTATTTCTCTCACAAGTGAACATATATTCCAAAATGTTCACTTTCTATCCTACCACAAATCCTTTTTCCTTTTCCCATTTGCTTTTATTTTTGTTATTTCCCTTTCCTATTTGTTTTCATTTTCTTTTTAAAACCATATTTTAGTTGATGCCTAATTACTATTTGTCTCTTTAATATTTTTTTTAAAAAAAGCAATCAAATCAGCCAATCAACTTCTGCCCGCTGTTGAAGTTCTGCCGCTCACCTTTAGGACTTCTTGGGCAGCAAGGCCTCCAATAAGGCTATTCATAGGGCTCAGATCCCCCATACATCCATATGCAAACGTCTGTATCAGATTCTCTTGTTCCTCATCCATAGCATCCATAGCTGGGGTCCTCACCAGCTCTATTAACATATCTGCATCTGCCTGCCAAATAATAATGACTGAGGTTGAAGAATAGATTTGGCTGGGGAAGGGGAAAGGAAAGGGAAGGGAATGGAAAGAGAAAGGGAAAAAAGTAAATAGCTGGATAGGTAGGTAGGCCAGACTTACCCGATTCTGAGGCCTAGGAAGTCGACCAATTTTTTTCTGGAATGTGTGAAGTGCCTGGAAGGCTGCATGAAGAGTGCGATAACGAAACAATTTATTTCTATCTTGGGTGTTGATCTTGGGATTATCCATGCAGGCTCGCAGAGATTCCTAGGAATATAGAGAAATAAGCAAAAGGGAAAAGTTGTATCTAATAACACGTCCTTCCTCTCAGATACCATGTCTCAAGAAGTTCTCTTGCCAAAAGAATATGTAAAGCACACTTAGCCCAGTAACATCTGCCCCAGCAAGTCTCAGATTTTTGAATTTTAAATCCAACATCACAGTAACAAAGAACTGCAGACAGAGACAAAAAGCCCTTTTTTTAAACAAGAAATTATATAGAAGCAAATTACTATTAACACCTATCAGCTATGGCAAGGATCCCCAAACCCAGTCTGCGGCCCGGCAGCAGGCCATGGCCTGTTGGGAACCAGGCCGTGCAAGTGGCGGGCGAGCACGCAAGGAGAAGGCACACGCACGAAACCATCACCTCTTCCCCCTGCCCTGCCACCACCACTGCCAGTCCGCGGAGATGGAAAGGTTGGGGACCACTGAGCTATGGTACTTTTGAACTACATAAAGAAATGCAATAATATTGTTGACATTCATTTTTAGTAATATAGTTATATAATAATGAACAGGACATGGGGCTGAGCTTGCATTTACCACTGAAACGCATTTACCATTTTCTCCTAAATACAAACCACAAAATATATACAATGAGAGAGAGAGAGTGCACTAACTACCCCAACCTTTCAGACAGTGATCCAAGCTTGGACTCTTGTGTGTGTGTGTATGTGTTTAAGATCAGAAGAAGTGAATCATTCTGCTACATGCCACTACTGATAAATGTGCCATTAATCTACAATGATTTTTTCAAGTTGAGCTCAGACAGACATCCTTCCCAGTTTAACTCAACCTGGAACAAAGCTGAGGTTTTCTGCATGAAGCATGTATATACTACTGAGTTGCTGGCCAGCACAGTTTCCTACACAGAATTTTATATCACAAGCAAGCAAGCTCAGCTTATACTAATCTTTCTCAAGCAGGCGCTCTACCTCCCAGCATCATTTCAACTGGAGGATGTGCAGTGTGAATTCATTATGAAAAGCTCAATAGTCTAAAAGTCTCAGGAAGGTAACAAGTTGGATGAAAGCTTATTTTAATCTCTCTTTCCCTTATGAAACAACACTGTACATCTCACAATTCTTAGCTAGAGCAACATATTTGTTCAAGAATCAGTCCTTTTTGTAAAGTAGCCTGAAAAGAAGAACTCTGTTTTTCAAAACTCCCAAGATATGTACAGCACAGAAATGAGAACCTACATAGGAATGTTTTTGAGGCATCTTGACCTGACTGATGATCCCACCACGCTGGTAGGGAGAAAAGGAAGACGTGTCTTCAATTTCCAGGGTGTTTCCTAAAAACAGAGCAAAAAGATTGAGATTCTGCCCTGAGTCTATGCTTAATCCTAATCCTAACCCTATGCAGTTTGATTTTCAGAGTCAGGTAAAATCATGTGAATCCAGTTGCTAAAAATGTAACCTTTGAAATTCAGGTTTCTCTGAGCTTGAAAATATTTTGGTTTCCTGACAAATATTTTATACTTCCACACTGAAGCCTCACAACTTTCCTTAGTTTTCCTATCAATACCAATGCTAAACCATTCTGTTATTCTTCTCTTATATACTCTTCACCATCTCAATTTCATGATGGGTTTTCCATATTAATCCTCCAGTTCTTTATGAACCTGTACCACATTCAAGTAAGAAAGACACATGGGGACCTGAAGGGAAAGAAAAAAAATCCTATTACCTTTCACACAAATCTTAGACTTAGAACCATTCAGTTGTGTCATCCCCTCAATCTCAGAGAACATCACCCAGTCACCATCCATGAAGCCATGTCCCTGGTCATCATCATGGACCACAGTCAAGAGACCAGGATTACCCTGGGTGAAGGAGAGAAATCTGAGATTAATTATTATCTTCCCTTTCAGCATGATCAACCTATTTCCTCTCTAATTGTCTGGATTCCAATATAAAATGCATCCCAAACTGAGCTTGCAATATTAATAAAATTGACACGGGTTAATTATTAATAGTCCAGCTATAGAAAAAAAACAGATAGCTTGGCTTACCTCCCCCCCCTCTGCTTTTCAGCTTGAGAGAGAACAGTTGCTTTGAAATGGAAATTCTTCATCCACAGTGGAAATGTGCTGGGATTTCACATAAATAAAAGCCCCTCGTCATGACATTATTTATTATTTAGAAGATGATTCCCCTTGACCAAAATCAGACACCATCTCCTGATAATCCCTTCATAAAAATAAACAGGGGGCTACCTTGGATAGAGATAATAATAATAATAATAATAATAATAATAATAATAATAATAATAATAATAATAATAATAATAATAATAATAATAATAATAATAATAATAATAATAATAATAATGGTGGTGGTGGTGGTGGTGGTGGTGATGACGATAAAGTTGGAAGGAACCTTGGAGGTCATCTAGTCCAACCCCCTGCTCAGGCAGGAAACCCTATACCATTTCGGACAAATGGCTGTCCAGTTTCTTCTTAAAAACTTCCAATGTTGGCGCATTCACCGCTTCTGGAGGCAGGTTGTTCCACTGGTTAATTGTTCTAACTGTCAGGAAGTTCCTCCTTAGTTCTAGGTTGCTTCTCTCGATTGGTTTCCATCCGTTGCTTCTTGTCCTGCCTTCAGGCGCCTTGGAGAATAGCTTGACTCCCTCTTCTTTGGGGCAGCCTCTGAGATATTGGAACACTGCTATCATGTCCCCCCTCGTCCTTCTCTTCGTTAAATTAGACATACCCAATTCCAGCAACCGTTGAGGTTTTAAAGGAGATGGCGCAAGAAGGGAATTACGAGTAGAAAAGTAATACAGAAAATAGAGTGGTAATGAAAAAAACATTGGCTTGGTTTGCAAAGTATGTGATTGTATATTGGTAAAACAGCCATTGTTATCTCAGGGAAAGAAGTTACCAAGGTGATGTGTTTAATGGCAGCAGATGTAGGCTCAGCTTCTGAAGGATCATACACCACAAAGTTTTCTCCAAAGTCACAGAAAACCTGTCTGGAATCAAGAGAAAAAGAAAAATAAGTTATGCCTCAAAGGATGCATTCAACGTATATGCCACCTTTAGAAACACGTAGCACACATACAGACTAACAGTAACTTTCAACTACAGAGTCTTCCTATTCAAAAAATTTTCTCTCTACAATGTTCCAGCATTATTTATATACATTTTCCATCTCCTTGGTCCCCTCCTAGAAAAAGGACAAACCATTCATCCAAACATACCCAGCCAGGCCCTTTGTGTTAGCTAGGACAAAGCAAATTTGGTTGGCATGGCAGAAATCACTGATATCCAGCTGTTCCTCCAAGGATGAGTTGGTCAGGACCACAACCTGGAATACATTGGATACATAAGCCACATTAAGGAATATCCAATCACAGAGAATGACTGGGAAGGCATTCTCCAAACATACACTCTCCGTTTAATGTCTGACAAGAATACACCACACACCTGTCCGTTCTGGACACGTTAGCCAAGGCAACTGCATGCTTTTGCAGGTGCAACTCCCAGTCAAAATCTTATAATTCTTTTGGAAAATTTACCATAAAGTTACAGCTGACAGAAATATTTGAGATGGATTGACAAGCTTTCTACTACTGTAGGATGAAGAACAGAAACTCTTCCATCAGTTCAGGTAGATCCTGCCTAATTGTTAGCTCTCATCACTTCTTTCTAGCATCACAAAAATTGCTTCTTCTCCCATATTTCTCACTTCCATGGCATGAGGCATATAACTCTGTCTTACCTTGAAAGTAGCCAAGAAGTTCTCTGTCAGTTTACTGGTGTTAAATTTCACCTCAGCCTTGCTATTTAACGTGGAGAGTTGTTCCTGGGAAACTTTAGCTCGATTTTGCCCCACATGATTCTCTGACAGGTAGAACTACAGAGACACAACAATGCTAAGAGTAAAGTAAAGTCCTTTACAGAATTCTTTGCCCCCAGTAAAACAGCACTTTTACCCTTTTCTTGCCTTATTTTACTGTCAGATGCACTGCATTGTCTAATAGCATATTTTGGAGTTGATTTTTATATCTCCATTCCCAGCAGCATTTGCATACCATGTGTGTATCCAGCAGTGTTTCTCAGCCTTGGTAAATTTAAGATAGATGGATTATATCTCCCAGAATTCCCCAGCCAGGGACTTGAAGCCCATCCATCTTAAAGTTGCTAAGGTTGAGAAATACTGCACTAAACACTGTGTAAGAAATACAGTAGCTGTAATACTGCAGGAGCGTAAGATAAATGTATAAGGTTTCTACTGATAAGAGAAAAGGACTTTAATACTTGCATTGCTTTAAATCAGGGGTAGTCAACCTTGGCTCTTTTATGACTTGTGGACTTCAACTCCCAGAATTCCTGAGCCAGCACAGCTGGCTCAGGAATTCTGGGAATTGAAGTCCACGAGTCATAAAAGAGCCAAGGTTGACTACCCCTGCTTTAAATCCTCCTCAATGTTGAAAGAAACAGAATTCTGACACCACCTGGGTAGATTCTAGTATCTAGTAGTTTAGAATTGATAGCTTGCTACTCCAGGCCAAAATGAGATTATTCCAGTCTAAGCAACCACTTATACTAAAGAGAATGCTAAACAGCAGGAGCCCAGAATATTTTAACACTGATTCTAAATTAACCTTTTATGACAGTTAGAGTCTAATAATGTACCATTTCTCATTTTGACAACTTTTAATGGGAGTGAATAACAATTGATTCATTAAACTTTCCAAATTGGGCAATCTTTTAGAATCCCAAGACTAGATTACTCATTCAGCCACGTATTGTATAGAATTAAATTATCAACAATTATCTGTTATTAAATGAGCAATACGTTGGAACTAATTGAGAATCCAGATGGCATGTGGGAAATTGGGTCTTATCACACACTTAGAAAACTGTCTTTAAATGCTGGGTATTCCTTCAGTTCTCATAATGCCATCTGCAAACCTCTGCTGGCACCTTTACTTAGCCAAGGTTTACAAGAAATAATCTTAATGAATGAGAACTTAAATGCTGGCATATGAGGCAGGCATGGAAATGTGCCCTTGTATCTCTATCTGCCACATACTCCTCCTTCCAGCTTAGAAGTATAGAGGAAGCAATTGCCCTGTATGAAGGTTCACTCCTTCTGCAGCAGGTCTGGTGAGTTCCACAGTCAACCAGGGTGGATGGGGGGAAATCACACTGCCCTCCTGGCGCCACTTATAAGTCTAGGTAGTATGAATGACAGGAAAATGACACAGCAATACTGGAGGGGGGGGGAATTCGGCAGAGGGTGAGGATTATTGGAGGGATTATTGGAGGGATTCTAATCTACTCCACACAGCTCTGGGTGGAGGCCAATGTCACTTCTTGCTGCACAGTACTCTGGGCTGAAGAACCTGGAGCATCTTTCTTTAGACAGAAGGATTTGGAGAACAGGTTACCTCCAATTCTCCTGCACAAGCAACGTGCCACTTCCTTTGTGCTAAGAAAGGAGGTGATGAAATCCAAAGTTGCTTTGGACATCAAGGTGGGAGGCAAAAAATTAATTAGTTAATTAATATTCCACACCTCCTTCTGTATAGAAAGAAATACTCTCTGCAAAGGAGGCTAGGAATGGTTTTAGAAATTAATAATATATAGAAGAACGTATGTGCATATGGTGTCTATGGATTTACATATATTACATATAGGCTTCTGGAAAAGTATCTATAGCAGGATAAAACCTACACAGAATGTGTGAACAAAATCAAAGGAAGACTTGTTCTATGCCTTGCAACTGCTCTCTCACATTCGTTAGGCAAGATCAGTAAATTGCATACCTGTGAGGACAGGTCACTCCACTGGGCATCATTTTCGTCATGGAGAGTGACATATTTCACACCGGCAAGAATCACATTCTTGGCAATCTCGACCCCCAGCCCCGTCATTCCAGAAACCAGCACCGTTGCTGTAGCTATCTTCTGCATGGCCTCATCCCCCAGCAGATAGCTAGAACAAAAACATCACAATGATGCAAATGCCAAGCCTGAACAGCGAACTCCTTCTGCCCTTGCTCAACTGCACTTTTACCCTTATTTTGATTTTCTTTGCCAATTGCCACTTCCTGGTTTTTTCCCATCTGTCATTATGCAATTTGTGCATGGAATGACCTCAGGAGACGGACAAATTGGAAAAGGTATCTTAGCTCGAAGGGTTTCACACAGGGCAGGCGTGGGAAATGTTTTAGAAAGTTTTCCATAAAGAGAAAGGAGGGGAGAAACACTTTCAATCTTGCAAAATTCTGTTAATGTAACCTTACAATAAAGGTAAGAGTTGGTTTTCCTGGTTGTACTTCTTGTACGGACTACTTTGCAGTGTTAACAGTTGTCTTAATCCCTAGATTCTTCTGCAAAGTAATTTCCACAAGATGCTCACTCGGTTATCTAACTACTCTCAGTCATTAGTGGGTCTCTATTACACCGGCTCTCAAGCAAAAGCCCTTTGTGGTTTCTTAGCATTCCTCCCACTTTTGTGTCCCATGTTATCAGACTCACAGTTGGCGGGAATACAATTCCTCGTCGACATCTGGAAGGTCCTCTGTGGTACTCATTCTGATCCTGCTGCTTCTGTACTGTCAGGAGCAAAAAAAAAAAAAAAAGAGGACCAAGGCAACTGAATCAGGCTATTGGAAAGTCTTGATTCATGAACTTATTGTCCAAGCATCAATCACGGCTGTGCTTACTAAGCTGCCAGGGAGAATTGTCCTCTCCTCTAGAATAACATTCTCTGTGATATCAGAGAAGCCCCAACCCTGTTAACTTTCCACAAAGACATTAAGACAGGGGTCTTCAAACTTGGCAACTTTAAGACTTGTTGACTTCAACTCCCAGAATTGGCTGTTGAGGAATTCTGGTAGTTCAAGTCAACAAGTCTTAAAGTTGCCAAGTTTGAAGACCGCTGCATTAAGAGCTTGATGCTCCAGAGCAGTGGTTCTCAACCTTTTTAATGCCGCGACCCCCAACCGGTCGTAAGTCGAGGACTAAACTGGTCATAAGTCGAGGACTAAACCGGTCGTAAGTCAAGGACTACCCAACCCATCGTAAGTTGAGGACTTTCCCTGCCCGGGAGCGCCGCGCATGCGTGGTTCTGCCCCCTGCGTCGGCCGAGGCGTAGCTGGCAAGTGGCAGAGACGGAGCAGGCCGACCAGCAACTGGCCCAGCCCAAGGGAAGTAAGGCACCCGCCGGAAAAGGGGGAAAAAATGGCGGACAAAAAAAATGGCAGACAGCCTTGCCTGGCGACCCCCGTGAAATGGTCGATCGACCCCAAATGGGGTCGCGACCCATAGGTTGAGAACCGCTGCTCCAGAGGGCCTTGCAGGGCTAAAGGAGTCATTTTAATCCTTCCTAATGAGGATGATGTTTTGGCTCTTCCTTTACAGGTAGGGTGTAATTGATCACATTATTATTTTTTTTTGTGATTATGTAGCTGTGTCTAGTTTTAATCCTATTACTATTTTGTTGCAAGTTGCTCAAAGTCAGTCGTGATTGGAATGGCATAACTCAGTACAACATTTCTTGATTTTTTTTTTCTATCAAGACCCTTCCCCACTCTAAAAAAATATGGAAAGCCCCCCAAAAGCTTTTGTTTGTATTTATCATTTATGGTATTAAAAATTTAAACTGATGCATTTGTACAATATTTGCTCATTGAGTAATGCAGAAATAACTAGATAAATAAAATACTTTTCGGGGGGAAATGTTTTTAACAAATTATTTTAAAAATTAGAAGTGTTTTAGCTCTTTTGCAAATATTTTCAGTGTTTGGCAAATAATTTTGATTCTGAGGACCCCTGAGGAGTTCTTGGGGACTCCTAGGGGTTCTATGACCATACTTAAAAAAATACTGGCTTACTAAAATAAATTAAATTTAAACAGAAAGCAAGTCCCAGCAGGGGGCAGCTTCTGGGTGACCTTGTCTGGGTTCAGAAGTTCAACAGAATCAGGAATTAACTTAATTAATACTTGGAGGGGGAAATCATCAGAGAATTCTAAAGCTATAGGCTTTTGGGAAAGTTGAAAAAACCATTTTCCAAGGCGCCTGAAGGCAGAACAAGAAGCAACAGATGGAAACTAATCAAGGAGAGAAGCAACCTAGAAGTAAGGAGAAACTTCCTGACAGTTAGAACAATTAACCAGTGGAACAACCTGCCTCCAGAAGTGGTGAATGCTCCAACACTGGAGGCTTTTAAGAAGAGACTGGACAGCCATTTGTCCGAAATGGTATAGGGTTTCCTGCCTGAGCAGGGGGTTGGACTAGATGACCTCCAAGGTCCCTTCCAACTTTACTATTATTATTATTATTATTATTATTATTATTATTATTATTATTATTATTATTATTATTATTATTATTATTATTGAAAAAGGCAATAGCAAGCCACTTCTGTACAGTTGCCAAGAAAAATGCATGAATTTAACCACCAGGAGCTTAATTGGACTGACAGTTGACTATCTTTACATGGATAAACAGTGGTGGTTGTGATTGGTGTTGCAGCCCACCAAGTGCAGGTTTCTCAGCCAGTTTTAAGACCTCCCATTAATTTCCCTTCTACTTCCCCATATAATCTTTAAAACAAACAAAACAAGGGTCATGTTGGACTTCAACAGGTGGGGCTACTGTACTGTATTATGGCTGCAAAAATCTAGACAAACGGCAATGAAAAATTAAAAGAGTCTCTTTGTGCCAACTGCCAGTCATCTGGATTCCTCAGCCCAGATATGGTATGGCTATAGCACAGAACAAGCAGAACAGTTCAAATCCTGCTTCCTGCTTCAGTTCACACACAGAAAGTAACCCAGCTGTTTCAGGGTGCCCTTCTAAGAGTACTCTCAGTATGGTCATTGCACAGGGATAATGGAAGAACAAGGAGCTTCCAGCAGAGTGAGAGTAATAAAAAGTATTAAAATGAGTAGAGGTGAAAGTTTGTGGGGCAACACATTTGTATGGGAATGACAGAGAAATATCAGAGACTGAAGTTGAAATAAATACTATAAATGTTTGGGTCCCCAAAAGTATTAAGTTATTAAACATTTTTGAGAAGGGAAGAAAATCCTAAGGTCAAACAAGAAATAAAAGGCAAAAGAAAATAATACAAGACGAATAAACAAGGAAATCACAAGCATCACAGAATTAAACAGGACTACATTGGTTGGGTAAGAATTTTTTTATCAGTGTTATATAATAATATACAAGGCTTTTTTTGTCATAGAATGCCCAGAACGAAGTTCCGGCACCTTTTTTGGATGGAACCTTCTTAGGCGGGTTGTATGATATGTGTGAGTTCCGGCACTTTTTTTTTTTTTTTTTGCAAAAAAAGCACTAATAATATATAGGAATTCTATATTAATAAGTGATAATCACCATACATCTTTACAGAAAAAGATCTACCCTTCTTTAAAACACACCATTTAACAATAATATTAAAATTTTATGTTAAGAAAACCCCAAATTTCAGATTTTTTTTAAAAATCTTATTTTATTGTCTTAGGTTCTAGGGAGCGCCTCTGATGCTCCTGAGTTTGCTGATGAAGGTCTTCTATCTCAGGGCTTTTCAACCAGTGGTATGGGTACCACCTGTGGTACATTGGCACCTGGCAGGTGGTACGCGACCATCCTAGAAAAGTGGTAGCGGGGGAGGGGAATGAGCTGAACCAGTGGCAGCACCACACAAGCCTGAGCGAGAGATGGCTGGAGCTGCAGGGCTGTCAGGACTCAGCGGAAGCGCCAGGATCAGTGCCAGGCTCCAGCTGGAGCTCGGCGCTGATCCTGGCGCTTCTGCTGAGCTCAGAAGAAGCCTCGATCAGCTGAAATGTTGCAGCATCTCCAGGGTCTTGTGATTTACATTCAGATGCTTGGCAACTGATTCATATTTATGACGGTCACAGTGTCCCAGGGTCATGTGAAGTGACCAAAACCTGCTGCAACCACCCAGCAGAGGGGGGGGGATAAAAACCAAACACCCCCCACCCCACCCCCGCTGCCAATCCTCAACAGAAATGCTCACAACAATGAAAACCTCGTACAGGAGGAAGAGCGCTGCCGGGTGGGCAGGCAGGTGTCTTGCTCGGCTGTGACTTGGGGGGCACTTTTGTCAGTGCCATTGTAACTTCGAACAGTCACTAAATGAACTGTTGTAAGTCGAGGACTAACTGTACTTTATCACTTTTTTTCCTTTTTTTGGTCATCAAGTTTTGACACCTTGCTAGGCGACTGGTGGTACTCGGATATTGCCATATCCTAAAAGTGGTGAAATGAGTGAAAAGGTTGAAAAGCCCTGTTCTATCTCATCCCACAACCATTCATGCCTAGACTGCAACAGAGCGCAAGCTTTTGCCATTACAGAGAAAAATCAAAAACTTTACCCACAGACTCTTCGTGCTTCTTTCTCCTCACCCGAAATCCAGCAGCTCCAGGCGGAAAAACCCTGGAAACGGCGAAGTCCGCCTCCTTTGGGCAAGAAGAAGGAAAACGAAAGCGAAATTACAGCTTTTCAGGAACTGAGCGTAGAACAGAAAACAATCGCTCGATTCCTTTGCGCTGGCAGCTCCGACGGGAGCTTTCCTAAGAGGCGGGACTTTAAAATGGCTTTAATGAACGATTTCTTTCTTTCTTTTTTTCCTTCCTTCCTTCCCTACTCCGACAAGCTTGCGTTTTTCTGGCCAACCTGCAGCTAACGGTACTGAAGTTGCTTATACAGTATAAAAATGCAATTGTTTAACGACCGAATTTGTTCTTTAAACCTTTCTCCAAACGAGCCCGAGTTTGGTCCTTTTCCTTGGGTGAAGATCGCACTTCCTTCACGTGCCTTCCTTCCACGGCTTTCTCGGCACTAAAAACGTTTGTATAAAACATTGAGAATCGCTGAACAATCAGAATAAAAGAGGTAAGCACGTGAAAATTATGCCGCGCAATCCATCACGTCACACGCTCGTTATGCCGGTCTCTGAATTCTGCGCGGCGGCGTCTTGCGCGCCCGTCTGGCTCCATTCGCCGCTCCTAACCTGAAGGAACCCCGCGCGCGTGTATAAAGAATACAAGCCGACTCTTTTCAGCCCGCGCTGGGCGGAGTTTGCGAGTTGCCTCGAGCGCATGCGCAACGAGGACCCGCTGACAGTTTTGTTTGGATTTGTGGCGCAGCGTTGAGCCCTTGTGGGTCTCGCCGTCGTGCGAGCGGCGGGTGGGTTTGATGGCGGCTGAGGCCGAGGCAGGAGCCGGGCCCGCTTCCACGGAGTGGGAGGCCCCCACGCGCGTCTTGCGGGCTCTCACCTGGCTCGGGCAGGAGTTCCTGTCGGACTGGGAGGCCCAGGACTTGCGGGCCGCCCTCTTCCAGCTGCTGCTGCTCTGGCTGGTGGTCAGCTTGCTCGGCATCCAGGTGGCCTGGCGGGTCTACGGGAACACCGTCACCAGCCTCTACTATCGGCAAGGTAGGGCTCCCCGCCAAAGCCCCTGCGCTGCCCTGCGCTGAGTCCAGCCCGGTCCCGCTTCCCCCCTTGCGCGCCCCGCGATTCGCTCCTGGGGCTCCCGTCGTCCTCCCATTGGGTGGCGGAGACGGGAGA